AGGGCGAGAGTAAGGGCCAACACTGTCCCCAGACTCAGACACCCTTTGGATGAATCGGCCCCGGTTGCAGCCAATGCCTACGCTATTGCAGATTATGCCTCCCGGTACTATCAAAACCTGTTCACATCCCAGACACCCAATAAACACCCCGACGATGTTCGACACGCAAGGGGGAAGCTGCTGGAAACAGTACAATCACGTCTGACCTGCATACAAAGAATGGAATTGAACAAACCCCTAACCCACCAGGAGATTTGAGAGGCGCTACATGAGATGGAAGATGAGAAAACCCCAGGGATTGACTCATTTCCCAATGAGTTTTGGGTGCAATTCTGGGACCTATTGCAGGATGACCTTATGGAATACATCTTGGCAGTCCAAAAATAAGGCTCTTTCGGGGGTATGATTGACCTAGGGGTCACCACGCTTCTCTACAAGAAAGGTGACAAAGATGATATAAGGAACTATAGACCCATCACACTCCTTCCTGTGCCCTAGAAAATAGTGGCCAAAGCACTGACCAAACGACTGCTGCCACAAATGAACGTCCTCATCCATCCAGACCAGACAAGGTTCATGCCCAACCACAATGTTCAAGATAACATTCTGCTGGTCAATGAAACCATCAGGTATGCCTGACAACGTAAGGTCCCAACGACCATTATGTTCATCGACTTACGATCACGTCGATTGGGACTTCCTAGGTTTGTGTCTGAAAAATATGAATTTTGGCCCGGTGTTCTGTTACTGAGTGCAACTTTTGCATAGTCGGCCACGACCAATATCATGATTAATGGTCGGCCACCTCTCGCCCCCGATTCGCCTTCAAAGATCGGTGTGTCAAGGTGACCCTATAGCGCCCCTGCTTTTTGTCATTGTCATCGAAGCCCTGGCATCGATGATCAGAGCGCACCCCAACATCAGTGAGGTGCCCATTCCGGACATCCCCAATTATCTCATTCCAGTGACATCGCTGTTTGCGGATGACCTGGCGGTTCTTATCCGAGCAGACGCAGATAGCATAACAACTCTTACTCATGTCATTCACCTCTTCTCACTGACGATAGATATGAAGGTCAATTGAGGTTCGAAAACTGAGGGTTGGTGGCTCCACCCTCAAGATGAGCCCCCGCCTCAACAGCCGACAGTAGCCTGGCCACACAAGGAAGAGGCTATCAAAATTCTTAGGGGGAGACTGACAGCTCTTGGCCCCCCGCCTAACTATGGGGACACACTACTGAAGTGCTCGTCTCTTGGCCCCCTCCGAGTTGTCGTTTCTTTCTTATTTGTCGATTACCGAACCGCTGACGCTGTATGGTCCCGTTGGCCGTTGGCTGATCAAGGAACAGAGCCGTGCCGAGTTGGGGTGGATTGGGTAGGAGAGAGGTACATACCAGGGTAGTAGTGGTGGGAAAGGGAGAGGCGGGGCAGAGGACTGGGAGTCTGCTGGGAAAGTGGGGGCGGGAGGGGCGTAGAGGGTGGGGATTCTATGGGGATCGGGGTGGATAAGGCGGGGTGGAGGGAGGCGGAGCCTGTCTCTTATACACATCTAGATGTGTATAACAGACCGTGGTAGTAGTGGTGGGAAAGGGAGAGGCGGGGCAGAGGACTGGGAGTCTGCTGGGAAAGTGGGGGCGGGAGGGGCGTAGAGGGTGGGGATTCTATGGGGATCGGGGKGGATAMGGCGGGGKGGRGGGRGGSGGAGCTRGCGGGAAAAGGGGGCAACACTGGGGTGGACGGGGGTGACGTGGATGGTAAGGGAGGTGGTTGTGAGCAGGAAGAATGAGGAAGGGGGGTGGGCCCAGCTTGTGCATGCCGATCCACCTCACATTGGACCCAGTGCACCTCAGTTAGTGAGTTTTTGAGTTGACCCGGAGGCGGTGTTGGGAAGAACTCGGGCGGTCTGTATGTCCATAGGTGGTCCTGTGCTGCCCAATTCTTCTATGTTAGCCTTCCGTCGTTTTGTACTTCAGCTAATTTGTGGTTGGGGTCTATCCACTTTACTGAGAAGGCTTCAATTACCTTTTGCCTACTGTCTTGGTCAGGGGCTGCACTCATTTTTTGTATTAAGTTTTTACTGGCTTTCAACATATTCGCCCTGATCACCTCAAGCAACTCTGCTTTGGCTTGGTGAAAACCAAAGGTCTCTTCTTGGCGTTCTGCTGAGCATCTCATTCTCCATATGACCATGAGAATGGCTAGTCTCATATATTTAAACAGGTTATGTTGGAAGGATGTCCATGAGGAAGGGAAACTTCTGTTTTTTCCCAGCAAGATAAGGGAAATATTCCATCACAAACGTGAATCTGTGAGCTCGTGCCACATGGCGTCCCACCATTGCCAAACCTGCATAGCCATGGGGCACGCCAGCAGGCAATGTTCTAGGTCGGCTCGTCTGCGCTACGCACCCTCTCCACAGCGGGAGCATATTGGAGATAAAACTCCTGTTTGTTCTAGGTTAGTACGTGAGATTATCCAGTCTGGTGTCGGTAGGCAGCGATGTAAAATTTGCCACTGCAGCGCTCTGTGTGAGGTTAGCATTATATGAGCATATATATTCCAGGGGATGTGATGTAGCTCCCCGTGTTGCAGCGGTGAATCTTTTGCCCACCGAGTTTGGACGACGGAGGTGGAGGCCTGCATTTTGTGGGCGTGTTTGTAACCCTCACGTACCGAGTATTGCCAAATTGGAGTGGGTTTCCGTCCTTTCCAGACCCATTCGTCCGGGTCGAACACAAGTGCTTCCACCGGGGTAGACATTTCATAAGCAAAGTAGCCTGTGTCATCGTCACCCACCACCCTCACCCTGGTCAAATCTTTCGTTGGGAGGCATCTATCCACTTTTGGGTCCCTTTTCAGGGGGGCCCAACGTGCTCCGGGCACATCTGGTTCATATGCCTGGAGCTGCGCCTGTTGCCCTGTGCATTGAGCCACCCTGAAAATGGTCATGAGGATAGGATTATGAGTGGATTGCTTCACCCAATCCAGGCTGCATATCGTGGGACCCTTTTGTAGGGTAGCCACCCATGACGGTGAAACAGCCCTGTGAATGAGGGCCAGCTTGTCCTGACTTTTTCTGATGTACTTCAGGCTTGGCTGTAGCTGTTGTACGGTCTTCCATACCCCTCTCTGATTGTCCCAAAGGTCCCCCACACTGAAGAGGCCATTTCTCACCCATGTAAGCCAGGTGGAGTTGGCGGCCATTGAAAGCGGCATGTTTGTTTCATCGCATATATCAGGGTTGCCGAATAATGGCTGCCGCCATATCTCTTGCCACCTCAAAGGGGGCGGCTTCTTGTATGGGTGACATAACTAAGTGTTCTGCAGTAACCCATTTGTTTCAGGCTCCGGTATTTGATGTCAAGGGACGCTGGACCTGGTTTCCAGCAGGTGCAGCTTCCCACCAATGGAACGGAGCCATCCAAGTACGGTAGTGTAGAGGGAGTGTCTGCTCTTACCAACACTCCCTCTACGCCCCGTTGTCGATGTTTGGCAGAAAAAAAAAAAAAGAAAAAAAAAGGGAATGGGACACAGGACATGGTACCGGGGCCATACTGCAGAGGCGCCTGAATCCTTTCAAACAAGAAAGAATGTACGAGTTTATCTAGAGTGTAGGGAGGGATAGAAAGGCCATAGGCAGACTGGAGTCCCTTTCTTTTTCCTCGAATATATATCACAAATAGTTCATATCGTAGATTATAAAATCGTTAAAATGGCAATTGCAAATGCATTACAGATCTTGATGGGAGAGTGGAATCATGTGATGACAGCACGGGACCCGTACACATATGAAGAAAATGTTATGTCCCTTGTGAAAATAAAAACTGGAAAAAGGGTATAGGAAGGGTATTTTGGCCAAGTGTCCGACAAATCAGGGAGGCTATGAAGGGTACAGAGGGAGAGAAGATAAGAGAAGGGTGTAAGTTTTTTTTTTTTTTTTTTTTTTTTTTTTTTTTTTTTTTTTTTTTTTTTTTTTTTTTTGGGCTGGGGTGTAGGGGGGGTAAGTGGGGAGGGAAGAAGGTACACGAAGGGCGTGGAGAGAATTGCAAAAGCTTGTAATTGGTTAATTAATAACACTAATAATTTTGAAATCGTAGTGCGCCAATGTTACGTCCGACACGGAAACGAGAAAAAAAAAAAGAGCACATCAGGCTCATGAGAATTGAGCAGGAGAGTTAATCTCCCACCATGCATGCACTTACCAAGACGCATAAGACGTCTGTGATAATTAATTTAAATTAAATAATTACTATAATTTACATTTTCTAGGGCAAAAAGAAGAAGATGGTCCTATACTTAGATGGCACAACCGATAAACCATCCTGCCCCAGATAAATATTGTGAAAGAGGTTCGTTGGTCCATTAACTTTTTTTTCATTTTGCCTTTCCAATGAAAGCAAATAAGTAATATAATTACTAATATCATACCTATACCCCCCTCCCCCTCCCCTCCCTCCAACCCACCCCCCCTCCTTCCTTCCTTCTGCCATTAGCTGACAGTCGCTCGATCTCTAATGAAATTGGACAAATATCAATGAATATAGACAATTATAGAGTCTTTTGGACATTAACCGTAGCAAATGTTCTGATCTGATTGAATTTGGCTATGTCGAGAAAAAAATCTTCCATTTTGAAATTGAACAGCTACTATGAATTGCCAAATTAATTAACCAATTTAACCTTCCACTAACTCGACGCATTCCCTGCATATATCGATGTATTCTAGTAAATGCTTGCGTCTTAATTCCGAGTACTCCCAGTCTCCATACAATCCCGACTTAAAATCATTGCGGAAGACATAGATGAGGGACTTGAGGACTGTTGCATTCTCGGTTTTCTTGCCTGTGATCACCGACTCCTTGTTGTGCCCTTCCCCCTTCTCTCTTTTTTGTCCGCCCCCGGCTTCTACAGTACCCTTTTCGCCTTCGCTTCCCACTTGCGGCGATCTGTTTGGGCCGACGTTTTCTCCTCCTCGGTCGAAACAGGACTGCTGGGCCTGGGAGTCCGTATTCTTCTCGGCGTCATCCCGCACCGACTTGGGTTCTTCCTGTTGTGCTGACTTTGCTGCTCAGCGCGATACTTCGTATTTACTACTGGTTTTGTCCTGAGGGATGACATCTTCGGAATTGTCGGCGATCTGGCTCTGCTGCCGCCGTGCTTCCACTGCCGCATCCATATCCGTGCCGCGGTGTGGAGCTGGCACCGCTACGTCGCGCACGCCACCTTCTACCTGTGCCGAGTTGGCCACCGGTAATGACACGTCGTCACCTCGAGCACTGCCATTGCGCGGGACAACGACAACGTCGACCCATAACCGAATGTATTCATCGTCCTCGTACCAATCGAGAATATCTAGCTCCTTCTTCGTCAAATGCAACAGAAGTCGACCATCTATCTTCCCGCCAGGCAAACGGTAGGCGGTCGGGTAAGGGCGTCCAATTACCGAATGCCTGTGATAGTCTTCGATGTAGCCGAAAGTGCTCTCCGGAACACGGTTCAGCAGTGCCATCAAAAGTTCGTCCGCCAAGAGAGTTCCATATACGAAAACATTATGTACCTTGTCCACCGCAGATCCATCACATTCCTCTTCTTCACCCTCAACACCTACTTGCACCGACACATAACCAGTTTCCGCTGCCGCGGATGCTGCCGGCGGTGTCATCGTCTGTTCGCACCCGTGCGGGACCCCGTGCGGGACACCAGTGCCGATCTCTGGTGTCAGCATATTCATTGCACAGGACTGCAGTGCAGTGTGTTGGTGGTGACCAGGGAGAAGAATGATGGCCCTCTCTCCACTACACAACAGCCTACCGTCTTCCCCCGAACATAACGCACCCTAAAAATGAATGTACACAAGCTATATTTCCGGCCAGATACAGCCAAAATAAGGGTGCGCTGTGTTCGGGGGAAGACGGTAGTACATGGCATCTGGAGTGTGATGGATCAGACACATTTGGACTGATCCAACATTTTGAATGTATCGGGATCATTACCAGCTACAGATACATGTAGAATGTTGTCCGGTGAGCGAGGCGCTGTTGCAGAAAATACAGGCAAGAGATGCAGAACACAAAGGAAACACAAAACATTTGTCAAAGACAACGATCCTCCACAGACCTGGGGTGTAGGTCCCAGTGGCAAAGAGGGCTTGACTATGCGCCTGAATCTGGATGTGTTTTAGGAAGAGGTTCGGAAAAGCAGATCACTCGTGATTGTTTGCAACCTCTCCACAAACATGCCCAGATTCAGGCGTTACATCCAATCCTCTTTGCTTGTGGGACTGCAGCCCCGAGCGTAATGGAACATAATTTTTATTTTATTATTATTATTTTTAATACAGAAAAGAGGAGGCCTAACCACCCCCTACCAGCTGGAATCTTCACCAGAAAACAAAAAGAAACAAAACAAAATCCAGGAGCAGAGAAAGAGCAGATAACCTGCCATTCACATCCAGATCCGCGTCCGAGCGCCGGGCGCTCGCGTTAGGGTTGACGTGAAATTGTCAACATTGTGCCAAAACTTGGCGGCGGCGAGGCTACGACATGTGAGGGATGAGTGCTAGGGCATTGTGGGCACACGCGAATGAGACCCTAATCGGTCTCCGGCTATCGCCTGGTCCCGGTTGGGAATTGACTATCGGTCAGCAAACAACAAACCAGCAGAGTCGGGGGAGGAAAGAGGTGCGATGTGCGGGTGACTTGCTGGCGGGATTCGGACGTGGAAGCATACCTTTTGTGGCCTGATCGAGGGATTCTTCCCCCGGTCTCTGATACGGAATCGCCTCGGGGTGATCCTGCTTCCGGCTGGTGGTCGGTCGCAGCCCGGGAATGTGGTGTTCATTCAGCGCACATTTTGGAACTTGGAGATTTGACCTTAATGGTTGGCGCGTATGGGTTGATGTGTTTTCGATACTGCCAAATGTGGTGATGACAATCGGAATTGGTTCCTTCAAGACCGAGTTTTGAAGACTGTCGACATGGAGACGTTAGTCGGGACTTGCTTTTCCCGGCACGGCTGACCAAGCGACACCCGGGTTGCCTCTTCAAATTGCTCCAATCGATGGGGCGCAGTCTGGAGAGTAGCCTCTACAACTGCTTTTTCTGATAGGACACGGCCTTTCTTCGACAGTGAGATTTGATATTGAACAGCGATGCTGCATGGATGGTACTGACACTCCTCTGTTACACTACCGGATATAGGTTTGCTTCTGTCGATGCGCTATCGACCTCCTGCCCTCTACTCACTTCTGGATTGTACTATTGGATCTTTTTTGTGTTCCTTGCGTCCCGCCCATGCTCCCTTCGTTCTAGCTTCGCAGCCTTGCTGTTTACCATTGATCTGCTGATGCTTGGCCACCTTTGCTGATTAACTGTTGATACTTCTTATCTATTTCCCGTTATACTTTTTCTGCTTTTACTCAACCACCACTTTTCTTCTGCTCCTGCCCTAAGCCTTTGCTCACCTTTGTTGATTGCCCGTCCATCGATCTCTTTCCTACCCTACCTTTCAGTGTTGTCTTCTTGATATTGTGATTGTGCCGACACTTGTAATTGCATGAGTTGGCTGGGAATGTTGGCGTGCAGTATCCTTGGACTTTGGTTTTACCACTGCATTGTTTCTGCTCCGAGACACTCTGGTTGTTGGTACTCTTCATCTTGTTGTCTACTCAACCATCCTTTTTCTTGTGGTCCTGTCCTAAGCTTGCTGTCGCCCGCTCACCTTTGTTGTTTACCCGCCCCTCGATCTCCTTCCTGTCCTGCCTTTCGGTGCTTTCTGTTTTTGACATTGTGATTGTGCTGACACTTGTTTGTCTCTACCACTTGGCCGCCTTCTGACCTTGTCAATCCCTTTGGTGTTTTTTCCTTTCTTCCTTCTGCTCGTTCGTTTCTCTGTTTTGTCGTCCTACTAATTACACGTGTTGGCTGGGGATGTTGGCGTGCGATGCCTTTGGACTTTGCTCGGCTCCTGCCTTGGTTTGACCACCGCATTGTTTCTGCTCCATGACACCCTGTTGCTAGTATTCTTCATTTTGTTGTTTACCTGTCATCCTTCGCTTGCTGGATTTACTGCACACTGCATCTGACCTTGCTGATTACTGGTAGTTTACAAATATTGCCATCTCTTCACCACCAATGGGGGAGCAGATGCCGCAGCATGATCGCCTCGGCGACATGCTGCGCCACTGTTTTCTCACTGGCGAGGAGGACTCCGCTCAAGCGGCCCGATATATAACAACACGTAGGGACCCTAAAAAGAAAGATACGGTGATTGTCGATATTCATAACGATGCCACTGACCTGACTGTACAATATCTTCGACGCCATGGTGTAATGGTGGTGTTCCAAGGACCGAGTGCTAATGCGACCTTTGCTGTCAAGGAGCAATGGCTGAGAACGATCGAAGGGGGATGGGATTTGGCCATTGCCCGGGGACAGAAAGGTCGCATCAGACCCGAGGGAGCTAACATGATAAGCTACTTGGCACCCAATCATGCACTTCGAGATTGGATAGTAGAGACGCTCAAAACAGAAGAAACGACTGTTGTTGGTGGCAAGGCGTGTAAAATTTTGTACCGTCCCTGGGCTACGCCTGCCGAATTAGCAAAAGGGAAAGATGATGTCACGGCCCAGAAATTCTGGATTAGAATACTTCGTATTCCTTTCTTGGCCATGCCCTTCTTGCAAGGAAAAAGAATACGGCCAGGTCCTCAAGACACACCCGCCCGAACACAGCAAAGCAAACCCTCGCCTTGTCAACTGTCGTTATGATCTGCACCCCAGGGCCCGAACTAAGATCGAGAAATTTCTAAAATTTCGATCTTCTCAGGGATGGCATAAGTTGGAAGTTGTCACCCAGGATACCTCATGGTGTGCAGACTGTAGATGGTTTGGTCATAAGGAGGGCGACAGTGCATGCCCGAAAAAGAAACCGCCAATGCCAGGCGCATCAACAAGTTATGCAGCTGCGTTGGGTGGGACTGGAAAGGGTCCGAGTGGCCCCGCGCCCAACAAACCAGCTGATCCCCTCCCGACTGATATCCTGGTTAATCCCTTGGGATCTGCAATCCCGATTAATGCTTCGGGATCTGCAGCTCCGGGTGACCCTTCGGGACCCGCAGACCCGCAGACCCGCTTAACCCTTCGGGAGCTGCAGTTTCCGTTAACCCTTTGGGGTCTGCAGTTCCGGTTAACCCTTTGGGGTCTACAGCCCCGGCTGAAGGGAGTCAGAGCTCTGATGTGCACCCTGTTCCACCCCCGACCAGCCTGGGCACCTCCTTGCAGCAGCAGAAACCAACGATGTCTCAGGTTCCGCTCCAACAGACTGAACAACCAGGACACCTGATACAGCAGCAACATTCACAAGTGGCCCAGGGCCCCTCTTCACAGACAGAACAGTTGGGCCTTGGGAAACCGCTGGGAGACCCGCCTCCCTCTGAAGGGGCTCCTGGTCAGCATCCTGGAAACCAACCCTGTGATGGAGTCCCTCCCCCTCCTTTAGGTGAAGGAATCCATCCAGCGTTGGACCTTACAATGACGGACCTCAGGGTTGACATCGAACAACAACCTGGCACCTCGCATGCTGGTCCTGAGGAGCTCATGCGTCAACAAAAAGCGCAGTCTTTTAAAAAGAAAGGTGTCACAGCTGGACCCAAAGCTGCGGGTCATCCTTATGCTAGATCAAAGGAACACAGTGGGGAAAAGACTGGTCTACAGCAAATCCTCAGGGGTAGCTGGGCTGATGCTGTTGACGATAACACGGACGACAGTCAATGACCCTTGGAACCGGCCCAGCCCAAACATTCCCGGCTAACATGTTGGAAGCCATGGCGGCGGGGCAACCTTGTGTTGTAGTCCCTTTCGTTTTTATGGCACGAGAGGGCATGCTCCATGTGATGGCTCAGATAGATGCGACCAGGGTTCTCCGCATTCCACATTTTCAGGTCTTCGAAGACCCCAAACCACAAGTGGTGCTTCGTGAGCTCCGCAAATGGCTCCATCCGGCATTCCGTGTGCGTTGTTACCCAGAACTGGAATGGGTCAGACTGACCCCCACCAACGATCAAGGAAGGACTGATCTCATGTTCTTCCCGTTGATTGACGTTGTGCCACGGTCTGCTACGGCTGCTCCTCCCTTGCCGGGAGTCAGGTGACTCAGTTTGGCGCTGCTGCAAAAATCCTGCTGGCCAAACCGTCACAGACACCAAAATTTTTGACTGTTAGACTGCCGCTCTGATGCACCAAGTGGACGGACACCTCCCTTGGCATAAGAGTATCTCTTCCCAAAAAATTTTATCCCTTAAATGCGCGGAATGGGACGAAGTGATTGCATAGAATGATGGATAGATTACGGATGTTGACCTGGAATATCATAGGACTGGGATCACGCAGGGTTGCTGCTAAAAGATCCCTCATCAAAACCTTGGCACGTAACAAAGGAATTCAGATCCTCCTGTTGCAGGAAACCAAGTTGGATGACGTCACGACGCTACAACAAATGGGCTGGTGGTCTAGCCCGCAGTTCTGGGCCCCAGCCCAAGCTACCCGAGGAGGTGTGGCAATACTGTTTGCCCGCACCTTCCCGTTCTCCATAACTGATTACTATTGGGATCATTGTGGCCACTGGGCTTGGGTTCGCTTCACTCTGGGAACCGAGCACTGGGCAGTGGTCAATGTATATGCTCCGCCGACACAGGTCGCTCGTATTGACTTTTTCAAATCCTTGTCGTGGATCATCCCTGATGTTGACAAACTGATTCTGGGGGGAGACTGGAATACCACTCTCCTACCAGGAACGGATTCCATTCGAGTTGCCCCGCCATCATCGGACGCGATCTGGTTGGCTGACTTCATGCAAACACAAACTGTGGCTGATGCGTTTAGAGCATTGCACCCTCACGACCGGGAATATACATGGTTTGCCACAGGGGGTGTCAGACAACAGTATCTGCCTAGGAGCAGAATCGACTTCTTCCTTTTGGAAGAGGATTTGATGTTGAGAGTAACAACGTGCTCGATCCTACCGTGTGTGGGATCCGACCATTTGCCTGTTTTTTTGGAATTGTTTCACAATGCCACAGTGCGTGCACGCCAGGACCGCAAGTCCTTGCCTGAGTGGGTGGCCTTGTCATCCGAAATGGACCTTTTTATGAATGAATTCTGGCAGAAATGGGCCACCTCCAAAACACTATACCTCTCTACAGCTGATTGGTTGATTGGTGGCCTCAGAATAACTCTATTGCGAGGAACTCTGTTCCGGAAACTTATTGCCCAATCCACTCGTTCGCAGCTCCGGGCCCTGCAAGAACAGCTGGCTGAGACCATTGCTCGAGCCTCTGATGTTCATGTTGACGAGCACCAGCTGATGCAAGCCATGGATGCTATACGTCAGAAAACTGCAGTGGTTGTCTTGCCTGCGGTTAGGGCAGCCTCTTTCGGAACAGGATTTCGTGGCTCGTCAAGGGAGACCGAACTACGGCGGTATTTTTTGCTGGCCACATAACTCATCTCCAATCGCCCTTAATGCTCACAATGCGCCATCCCTACGATGATCTTGCTCCCCTCGCCACTGACACATCAACGATTATTACAAACATTTCACTGTTTTATGAACAGTTGCTCTCATCCAAAGCCCTGGGCTCGGAACAGCAGTTGCTCGACCAGTATCGTGACGAGGTGTGGGACAAAATGGACCGCACTCTTTCCTGCTCGCAGGTGAACCTGTTGGAAGCTCTTGTGACACTTTCGGAGATTACAAAGGCGGTGGCCAGCCTGCCCCTGCACAAAGTGCCGGGACCGGATGGCCTGCCGCACGCCTTTTTTAAGCAACACCTCATGCGGTTGTTGCCGGACCTTATGGCTACAATTAACTCCATCCACGGTGGGGCCAATGCCCCCCTTGACATGGTCGCTGGTTTAATAACCTTCATTTTTAAGAAAGGTGACCGGGCTGATGTTCGAAACTTGCGCCCAATTACCCTCATGCCAGTGCTATATAAAATTCTTTCTAAAATTCTTGCCATGCGCCTACACTCAGTGCTGCCTTCCCTGATTCACCCGTCTCAGACAGGTTTTCTCCAGGACAGGCAAATTCTTTATAATATCATGACTGTTGAGCAGATTATCGAATTGGTGGCAGCGGGAGAAGAGCACATAGCGGTCATCCTTATAGATCTTGAAAAAGCTTATGATAGGGTGGGCTGGGAATTTCAGCAAGCCACCCTCACAGCTTTTGGCTTTGGACCGAAATTCAAACATATGGTGAGATCGTTGTACGCTGGAGCCACTTCGAGACTTGTGGTTAATGGTCGGCTCTCACCTCAGATCGCATTGGGAAGATCGGTGCATCAAGGATGTCCTATCGCGCCATACCTCTATCTCATTTATGTTGAAATCATGCATGTCATAATACGGGCACATCCTGGTGTCCCGGGGTTCTTATTGCCATCGGGCGACCGCCTCAAAACTGAGTCTTTTGCTGATGACTCCGTGGCTTTCACTCCGATGGACGATTGCGCTTTTCAATCTTTGCAGCAGGCAATCGCCCTTTTTTGTGAGATATCGCAGGCCAAAGTTAATTGGACAAAATCCTCGCTCCTAATTCCCCCGGGTTTCGAGCCGCCCCTGCATTGGGGACTACGTGTGGTTACCCCGACGCAGCAAGAAAGACTGCTGGGACACAAAATCTCCTTCACTCCTCAGTTGGCAACGGACCCCTCCCACGCATTGACTGCAGCTAGATCGGCTCTTCGACCGTGGGTATCGAGACCTGGAGTCAGTCTTTTTGGACGGGCACTGGTTCTTAATAACTCCATTTTCTCTACCTTTTGGTATCAACGTACAATCTTCCAACTGGACCGACCAGCACAACAACAGATAAAACATTTGGCCACCCGATACTTGTGGAAAGAAGAAATGGCTGATACACCTTACCTTCCCAAGGTGTCGTGGGAGGTGGTCACACAACTCAAACGGGAAGGAGGGCTCTCCATTCTTGACCCGCCGTACCAAATTGGGGCATTGCTGTCCCGATGGGTGCCATGGGCGATTTTGGCAGGACCCTTCTTGCCATGGAGACAGTTGGCAGAATTTGCCCTTCTCGATGGTTGGGGTTGGAGCACACTGCGTTGTATTTGGTTGGCAGTTCTCCATCCTGTTTACCTTCGTAGGCGCCTAACGCGTGGGATATGGTCTGGTATTTTGAAAAACTGGCAACGTTGCTGCCCTCAACTTCTTCCTCCGGTCATGTTGACAGAAAGGATATTAACACAGCCACTGTTTGATAACCCGTTTATTCTTGTTGTGAACGGCTGCCCCTTCCCCTGTTTTGGAGGGGGGGCTTTCGGTGATTCCTGGATGAGCAGACGGATTGGGACGCTGGTGGATATTTGGGACGTGGACCGGAGGGACTGGAAACCCTTCGCTGATTTGGCCCCGTCATTGATGGGCCTTTGGCATCAAGCACTTCACCTTCGGGCCCTCCAAGAAGCAATTCCTTTGGAGTGGGTGACGATTCTTCAATCCGGGATTGCTCTGTCACAAGGTGGATGGTTTAAGAGAGAA